TTGTCGTTTTAATCAGCCAATTCTTTTTTTTTTTGTTCTTATCAGTAGTTACTTTACCAGCTTTACTAAACGTAGTGTATACAAGCCTGCAAGCCTTTAACCTTCCAAGGAAGACTACTGTTGCGCTTCATAGAGAAGAAAGTAACTCACTGTTATTCTAATATCTCCTCAAAACTACTCCACTCTTGTCAAAAAATACGTCGTTTGATAGTGATCATAAAATTATTGTAGGTGAAGCTCAATATATAAATATTCTTTTGATATTTTTATTTTTTTAATAAATTCTTTTTATAATATTTTAATGACGTACAATATAAAAGTGTTCTAGCTACACCAAACAAGTAGGAGCACTTATACTGAAAAGAAAGTAGTACCAAATTGTCTTTTTTGCCAGTTAGCTCTTTTAAATAATGAAACAGAGTTGGTTAGGCATTCGGTTGGGCCTTAGCAGTTCCTTTACAGACAATTATTCTTCTGTTGCTGTGATGTCATCGTATTATTATCATTACAGCTGTTAGCTTACATAGTCACTAGGAAACTGCATAAAGAGCGATTCACTTAAAAGACGTTTTTTTTAATGATACTGAACTACGTCTTAAAGAGGAGTAAGGCTAGTTGTAATTTCGCGACAAGGAAAACATAAGCTATCTGAGAAACCTGAATATGACAGAGCATATGTTGAAGCTTCGCGTCACTGTCTACAGTAACAATTTCTTTAATAACTAGGAACGTTTATCAGTCTGACGCTTGATTACGCCTCGTTTGTTTTTAGAGTAAGCCATATCTGTTACAAATATCAGAAGGTAAATGATGAGATGCAGTTTCACAAACAAAGCTTATACAAAAATTAAAACGATGTGACCCAATAAAAGTAGCAATGAAAATTTGTTAAAGAAGCATTTGGTGTTAGTAATACTTTAAAACTATAAATGTTCAAACTTTCTTTATTTTTAATTTTACTATCAACGATGAGACAGTAGAAAACAGTTGAAGATGGTAAGATCAGAGATGATAACTGAAATCTGAAATAAAGTCAGTCTTAAGCAAAGATGCAGTAAACACAGTTTTCCCTAAAATAATATTTTCCCATGTAACACTTACGCAAAGGCGATAACCCAATAAGTCAAATTTTTAAATTTTGGTTTGTAAAAAACGTTCTTGACCAATGAAGCTTTTGTATCTGTTCAAAAACACAAAACTTGATCTTATATTTGTTTGGGTGCAATCTAACGAAATAAAAAAAAAGTGTCCTGAATAAATAAATTTTCCTCTGTGAATGTGCGACGACGGCGAAGTTTTTGGTGTGATATAGCAACCTGTTTGTTTGAAATATTGAAGAAACAAACAACTTAGTGATTAAGAAGTATCAGGAGAACAGCCTCAGAAATAAGCTCTTAAGTATTAACTAGTAAGATAGATCTTGTTCATACCCTTAAGAAAAGTTGCCCAGAAGACTTCTAGTGAAAATTTTTTTGTCGTCACTTGTAAAATGCTGATAATGTTTCTAATGCAGTAAAATCCGGTATAACAGAAAGGAATATAATTCGTTTTGTTTCAACTTGGATTGAAAACAAACGTACGATCGTCAGTCGAGCGATTAACGAGAACGTTACTTTTACCAAAGACAGTATCAAAGACTAAGGTGATAATGCTACGTATTTCTTACAAATAAGCAGCTCTCAAAACTGGGAGCATTTCTAGTTTATACAAAGTAAAATAAATTTTGAACAACTTTTTAAAAAAATATTTTTTATAAAACACAGAATTTGAATAAATTTTAATCAACACTTAAACCTTCAGTGCTAATATTAGCATAATATCAACAAATATTTTTCGTTTTCAAAATGTTTCGAAGTTACTTTTGTACGTTCAAATCAGGCTAAGACTTGTGATTGATTGATAAACCAGATCTGAAGACTTCTGCTTTCAAAGCGCAACATCCTGAAATTTAACATATAGCTAATTCTATTAACATATTACTTAAAAATTAATACTTCTTCCATTTATAAATTAGCAAATTTTTTTCCGCATTGATGCCAAACCATAAATGATAAATTGATGCTAAAAGATGTTTGTTCACAGCTTAAGGTAGTTACTGTTAGGCTAAAAAATGACAAGTTTTAAGATAAAGCGTTGTTCTTGATATGGAATAATAAAATAAATTCTAAAGTTTTCAACATGCCCAAAATTTGTCGTTTATTCAAGTAATTTTTGAGCAGATCTGCTTCACATAAGTTTCCAACAGATGTTTTAATGTGCCAAAAAATATTAAATTTTTCTTTATCAAAGAGAAGAAATTGCTGAAAAAATTAATCTCATAGTTGGGCACAGTTTTATACCTTATGGGAAACCTAAATGTATGATATACACTTTTCTAAGGTGCTGCTTATCTAGACGATTCACTGAGGAATTCTGCTCAGCATTACCTCTGTCGGTATTTCTCGCATTTCCTGTCTTGACGAAAGAACAGAGAAGAGAGGTCAGAAAAAAGATGAGGGAATGAATAAAGAAAAGATTTAACAAATTACTAAAGTTGTTAAAATATTAGTTATTGAAAGTTTAATTAATTGTTCTGTTGCAGGGTTTTAGAACAATTAGAAGTCACAATCTAGAACTGGTATTCTTTGAGGTTTTATTAGGTAAATTCATTTGACGTAATTTGGAAAAAAAAATGTTTTTTAAACTCAAAACTGCCAAAAAGCTGTGGCAGAAGAAGTTAAAGATTGAAAAGCTAAATTTATTTCATTTTTTTTGGTACGATAGATGCTAATTTATGCTGTTTCTTCTGTTTTGCAGGTTTCAAAGTTGAAAGGTGAAAATAATATTGAAGGAACTAAACAAATTAGGATAAAAATAAATCGTTTAGAAAGCAATCTTTTTTTTTGTCTCAACTTTTTCTTTCAATTTTTTCTATAAATACTCTAAAGAAAAAATTTTTTTTTGTAAATGCTGCCCCTTGCCTTTCCCTCATTTTTTTGCAACAGCGGCCCCGCACTGTCTGCTTTTCATCGGGAAAAAAAACTGTTTGCTTTTTTTTTTTTCTCATCGCAACTTCATCTTGAGGTTTTTT